GCATTTGCTCTCCTGAATAAATCGGAAGAGAAGAATAAGTTTGATGTTTCAGAAATAATGAAATACTTAAATATGGCAGCAGATAACGGAAATTCTATAGCACTTTTTAATTTGGGTGATATATATTGGAATGGAAAACTTGGAATTACAGTTAATAAAGAAAAGGCAAAATCGTATTTTGAACTTTCGGCTTCGAAAAATAATCCTAAAGCTATTGAATTTCTTGAAAAAATTAACTCTAAAATTTGAATATTTTTCATGTATTTCTAATTTGGATTTTAACATTTACATGATATTAGAAATGAAGACATTTCTCGATTAAGGGTAGCTATCCTTTTGCGACATATAAAAACTGGGCAGCTCACTTGCGGCTATGTTGTATGTTATTTCATGTTCTAATGTTTGCATTTTTACGTGATATACGTTGTAAATAGCTTTATACTCGTACATAAATAAATTCTAGAATTAGTGAAATTTATCTATAATAATATAATAATCCTCCATAATATAAATATGAAAATACAATCTCAGTACTGTTTTTATAACATATCTTTATATTTTATGATTTTATCAAAAATAAGTTAAACATGATTAAATAACACTTTATTAATAAAAAGAATAAAGTTATTTGTTTTATGAATAAACATTATTTTTACCAATCAGTATTTAATTTCTTTTTATTTATTGTGGCTGCTTAGGCAGATGCTAAAATTTGGAATCTTCATTTAAATATGATGACATTGTAACCGTTGATTGAGAGCTAATAGAACGGTATAAACAATAGGCCAACTTAACTCCAACAGTATACGATCAACTAATCTGGGTAGGATTTAAACATCTGCTTTCTAAAATTACTAGAATCAGAGTCTTAATAGGCCTAGTCGAAGTTACTAGTCAATTCAGTCGGATTCAAGAGATGATTTCAGATTCTCATTATTCGGTTATTAAAAGTGGACGCGAACTCCTTTTTTTATTGAATTCAAGGTTCTTACATTTTAATTTTCAGGAATGTAAACACCAAAATTATAATATTTACACCTAAAATTGAACATT